TGTTGTTGAAAAAACCAGCGGTTGCTTTACATGTGTTGAAGAAACATGTCTTGAAATGTCTCGACAAAACAAAATGGTTGTGGACGGAGTTCGGCACGCTCGCGTGGCGGCGCGCATGTGGTCTGCATGGTATTATATGATACGGATTCGTCCACTGGGCACATTCTGAATCAACGCGGACGCACCGCGTGGTGAAATCAGAATGCGGGTTCTGGGCGAGATTGCTAAAATCGGGTGGTTCGCCTATGAGTTCAGCGAGTGCGCGCGGACAACAAATCTGCAAGATCTGTGCTTGTTGCTTTAGGTTTGAAGTTGAAGACTTGCATGACGAACGCGTGTGGTATGATTTTGCAAGTGCGCGCGCGTGAAGACTTCGTCGTAGATTTTACCAAACCACCAGAGAATGGTTTGGATAGTGATTGCTTGAGATCAACAAGTGCGGGCATGGTATTAGTTGACAGGGAGTGTAGATACCGGCCATCCCATGATGTTACGATTGCATGTGCAATACAAACGACGAGGCAGAAACTAGAGCAAGTTGGAATACCAAACGGGGTGCAGTTTAAGCAGAGAATCCGCCGACCCCTTCGGGTTCATCGGCGTGTGAGATGTACCCCACTCCACAAACCCCTCCCCCCGGAGCCCAGTCTGGTCGATTCGGACGGGGAGGGGGTCCCCGGGGGACCGGCCGAATTTGCCACGGGTGGGCAGAGGGCCCAATAACAGGCCAAGCGAGCACCAAGAGGCCCTCTGGACGGTCCAAGAGGGCCACGCGCTGCCGAAAGATCGATGGAAAACGTCCACGCTGGCCTTCAGACGGACCCAGAGCCCACCAAGACGCCCCAAGAAGCTGCCAAGAGGCATCCCAAGACAGTCTCAAAGAGCAAAACTCGCCCCGTCTCCATGGGAAAACTTGCACGTTTTGCACATTCGCCTCTCCTGCGATCACAACATCCAAGACAGCCCAAGGAGCCTCCTGGGTCGCCCCGACACGGCCCAAGAGGCCCCCAACAGGGCTCTCAAACTACCCAAAAAGGCCCAAAGACCATTCAAGAAAACACGATGGCCCAGGAGGGCCCCGCGACGGCCCCAAGACGGGGCCCAGAGTTGGAACCCACACAGACATTTCGAGCCTTCTACCCCGCACCGCCGCCCCGTTGTCCCCAGAAGCCCCCAACAGGCTCCCAGGGAGCCCCGCGAGGCACCAAAAGAACTCCTCACATGCCCCCAGGAGGCCCCCAAGAGGTTCAAAAACTGCTGCCAAAACGCCCCCGAAACGCCACCCACGAGGCCTCGTCCGCCATCCGCGTGGCCTCCGACCTGCAGCCCAGGCGCGGGCGGGATGTGTCGAAGGCTAATCAATAATCGTCCTTCTGGAATTTGAACACATGCCCGCCGTTAGTACACGCGGGTTCTCGCCAGTTCCCCTGTGCGCGCACGGCCAGTTTTGAAAATATCAGCCGCAGAAATAACCACTGCCGATGCGGGCTGTGCTGCGATTGCCGTCGGCCCCGGCAGCATTTTTGGCGAGCACTGTCCAAGAGGGCCCCGACGCGCCCCACAGCTCATTCCGAGACACACACGACGCTTCCAAAACGTCTTTTGACAAACGCCCGCCGAATGCACACGCGGGTTCTCGCCTGTTTCCCGCTCATTTTCTCGCACACCAGAGCGGCCAAAACAGAGCTCCAACACAGTCCAAGACAGCGCCCAGATGGCCCAAATTAGCCCAACAACGATCCAAGATCCATCGAGACGGCGCTCGACCCGCCCAAGACGGCCCAGGATTCAACAAGTGCGTTGGAGGCATGAGTTCTTGCTTTCCTACGCGCACTTCAAAGGGAGGCACCGTTCTTGATCGAATCGGCATGGCCTGAAGACTAGTCCACGGGCGCTCCACTCTCGTCCCATCAGATCCTCCCACCTCCTGTCCTCTTCAACCACCTCCCCGGCAAGCTGCTGCTGAGCATCATCCCGACCAAGCTTTCGAGACGCGTATACCTCCTGCGACGAAGACCCTTTCGCGGCCACACGAATCCAATAAATACGCCCGCAAGCAATATCCCACCAGCCCTCTGGGCGTCGGTGGGTTAGGGAAGCCTCTCGTCCAAACCCCTTCTCTCCTTCGGAAAATGCTCCGTATTCATAGACACCCGCCCCCGCGACCGACGGTCGACCCGAAGCAAAGACAACACCCCCAACCATCCCGGTCGCCTCAATAATTACAAGAGAAAGTGCGCTTTGCGACACAATCTGGATCATCTTTGGGCGTCCCGCCCTCACTGTGCATTGGTCTGTTACACGACTGCAGGGGGCATCATATAATCCAGTGTGCACCATCCCTCTCAGGAAAAAGCAATGCAATGCGCACGTGGCGGCAACATCCCCTGGTCCCCTGGGGTGTCCTCAGCATGTGAGATGTTTACCCCTCCCCCGACCCCTCCACCCACAACCTGGTCTGGTCGACTTGGAGGAAGGAGGGTCCGCCCGGATCCCCTAGGCCTGGCCTCACCGCATCCTGGGAGGATAGAGGCCCCCACAACGAGCCCATAAACCCCAAGAGGCCCCCAAGACTGTCCAAGAGGACCACCAAGACGCCCCCAACATGCCCCAAGACGCCTCCAAGAGCCCCCCCAAGAGGGCACTACGAACCAACATTCATTGATTTCGAATCCGCTTTTGATAGAAATTAGCGTTCTCGTTTTTTCGATTTCCCCACGCTCCACGGCGGCCCGAGAGGCTCCCAAGATCCCCCCAGACAGCCCCAAAGGCCTCCAAGAGGGCCCCTAAACAGGCAAAGAGAGCCCCCACACGGCCCCCAAAATAGCCTCGGAGGCCTCCAGCATGGCCCAAGAGAGCCCCTAGACTGCCGCAAGAAGCCCCACGAGGGAACCCGAGCCTGCATTTCGAGCCCTGGGCCCCCCGAGACCCGTGCGAGCCCTCCACGAAGCTCCAAGAGGCCCCCCAAAGGCGCCCAAGAGGCTCTCAGGAGCAACCCACGTGCAGTATACGTTGCGGCAGCTATGTCTTGCCGTATCTGTAACAGCTGCGGTGCGATCAGCCTGATGCACGCTGTGTGGTGCACGCTACGTGGTGCAACTAATGTTTGTTCACTGATGAACTGTCCGCGCCACTGCTCCCTCAAACATCCCACCCACCCTCCCACAACTTGTTGCGCAAAACCAATGCGGCCGCGATTTCGGCGACTGCGTGGCCCTGGCGAGCGCATCTCTGCGGCCGCGCTGGCGAGCGCAAGCTCGCGCGCAGGGCGGCAAATTGGTTTGGCACAGCTGATGCGGCCGCGATGGCACTTGCCGATGGCACTTTCTTCCCAGCGCGGCTCCAAGGCCGCGCTGGCGCGCGGGTGCTTCAGTGCGGGTCGGTGGCTCGGGCGGGCGCGGAATCATGATGACGTCGACAACGGCGGCAACAATGTTGATAATAACGATGGCGGTGGCGACGGTGACGATGAGGATGTCCATGTGTCCGTGACGACGGAGGTTGACTGATGATTGGGGCAATGCAGGCGATTGGCGATGACGATAAGAGCAGTGATGCAGTGGCGCTGATGCGGGTGGTGGTGCGCGCGCAGAAATTCAAGAAATCAGACAGGTCTTCTGCTAAAAACACGTGTTTCCCTTTTGTAGTAGAAGAGCTCGATCTTGAGATGCGTCTGTAACCAGTGGTGTTGGAAGGATTTCGACACGCGGGCGTGGCGGCGCGCGCGTCGCCAGCATGTTGGTTGATACGGATTCGCCCACTGGGCGCCTGCTAGAACAGCGCAGATGCAACGCGTGGCGAGATGAGAGTGCAGGCTCTTGACGAGACTGCTGAAATCGTATCGTTTCCCGGAGACTGCACCAGCCAGCGCCCAGGGGGCCCCGCGGAGCGCGGCAGCGGGAGGCGCGACGGGGGTGACGGGAGCGACAGCGCTGTCCGAGGGCACGAGTGGAGTGCGGGAGCGGAGGGAGCCACAGCAGGGGGGTCGCGGCGCAGCCGCAGGTCTCAATAGTGGGGGGGCGGGAACGAAGCTAAGCCGCGCGGTGCACAAGCAACGAAGTCGAAGGGGCAGGTGGCAGGGGCAGTGGGATATTGTGATCCACAGGGAGGCGCAAATTCGTCGTCGTCGGTGTCGTCGTCGTCGTTGTCGTCGTCGCCGAAGTCGTTGGAGACGTCGTCGGTGTCGTAGTCGTCGTCGTCGGCGTCGTCGTCGTCGACGTCGCTGTCGTCGTCGGCGTCGGTGTCGCTGCTAAGTGCCATTTGGTACATGCCGTCACGGTCTTAAGAGGTTTTGCAAACCAAGTTGCGGGTGGGTGGGTGGGATGTTTGCAAGAGCGTGGGACGTGTCAAATCATGAATAAAAATCAATTGCACCACTTAGATTGTACAACAAATGGATTGCACCATACACGGTGCACAACAGATACTGAATCAGATAGGCTGCGCCGCATAGATTGCGCAACATATGATTCTCCTTTCTACAAAGAGAATAGGTTCTACCACCCCCCCCTGGGGTTATCCATTCCTCGGGAACCGATGCAAAACATACGATTGTGCCCCACTGTCCATCCTAATAAATATGACTTTACACTATCCCAGGGGGTCCGGTATCGACCCCCCCCCCCGCCATCCTCTTCAAAAAAACTATGCGCGCACACTCGCTTCTCAAAAACCATAAGTTTTCAAGAACCCCTTGCAAAAATGGAACGAAGTGCACACGCGCACGTCGTCGCGCGCGCATGCCGAAATCCTTCAAAAACCATCGGTTTCGGAAGGATTTCAAAATCGAGCTTCCAGAAAACATACAAAAACACAGGGCTTCGCAACACTGATGTTCAGTAAAAGTCTACACGCGTGCTCTTGCGAAATCTTAAGAAAACTCGTCAAAGAGCAGACCAAGCCTGCACTTTCAAACAACCCCACACGCATGCCCATTGTACACGGGAGTCGTTTTCGGGCCCTGGGACAAGCAGCAAACGGCCCGCAGAAGAAATGAGGTCGGGAACCCTGGGGCTTCGTGAGAAGGACGGCGAAACAAAACTGATAAAACGCGACGTCGGAGATCTGAGAGGGGAAGTGGCCAGGCCGGCATAGTACGGAGGTCGCTGGCGCCGCGAGCGCCGGGATATCGCCAGTAGCCAGACCAGCACGGGCGCCAGCACCGCGCAGCCGGGCGAACTCAGTCGTGGCGCACCGACAGCAGCCGATTGTACTGCACGCGGTGCGCCTTGGCCGGCTCCTCCGTGAACGCGGCATCCGCCTTCGCCTTCGCTATGTAGGCGATCATCTTGTCGGTCTCCTGCTCATAGGTGTAGCCCGCGTCCCAATTCCAGCGGGGGTCCCAGGTCCAGCCTCCGCCCTGTGGTCCCGGGTGCGACGGGTTGCTCGAGCCTAGGGACATGTATGCCGGGTCGTCGTACTCCTGATGGTCGATGCCAAAGGGGTTACGCGAGGACGGTCCATAGGGGATGCCCGGGCTCCCATACCCATGAGGGATACCCCCCGCCGTCTTGTCGGTCGCCTGTCCATAGACGTGCGGACCAGGTGAGCTTCCCGAGCCTGTCCACTTGGCAAGGTTGTCCAGTCCAGGGACGTCAAGGTGCCCTTGGCGGGGGTACTCCAGCGCGGGAGGTGGCGCCGACTTGCACCACGTGGGAATCGGAATGCCGCGCCTCTCGAAGTACGCGGGGTTCACCCACACATGGTCGTTGTAATGGAAGCGCGGCTCGACGTAGTTGATCCAAAACGCGTCCAGGCCACCGATGTAGTTGAAGCTGGCGTTGTGCATGATCTCAAAGACGAGCTCTTCGGTCTCGTCCTTGGACCTGTGCTGAGCGAACCACTGAGAGCCACGGCCAGCGTTACGTCCATTGAAGCGGACCAGGACGACCCCGAACTCGAGGTTCTTTCCTGAACCGAAGAAGGTTTCATTCAGGACCTCTGCCTCGTATGACCATTGTGAACGTCCCCAGAAGTCAATGGTCTTTGCGGCCGCCCATCTCTTCCAAAGAAGGGGCAAGTGTAGCGTGGACCTGGTGGGCCGCTCAGGCATGTCGAGTACGCATCGGTGTCGAAGCCGAGCTTCGTGGCGCTTCCCGGCGGATGAAAGGCACCCGAGGGAAAAGCACGCCTTTCCGCATCTTGCCCCGTCGCGTAGCGCAACTCGTAGATCCGGAGGCGCCAGTATGAGGCAGGCGCCAGCCCGTGATCTCGAGCAGCAGCGTGTAGCTGTGCGTCCGCCATTCCCCGCCGTGGGTGTCAGGTAGACGCGTTGGTGACGTTCTCGCAGCACCTGCGTAATGAGTTCACGTCCGCCAGGCCCGTGCTGAACGTCTGGATGTTACCCCCCGTCTCCAGGCTGTACTCGACCCAGTGGGGGACGTCGGAGCATGTGCATGCGGAGTACTCGTGGACCACCCAGTTGTCGCCGCCGCGGGGCGTGCCGACGCCCCAGGGCAGCTCGGCGCCCTGGCCTTGCCCGGCCTCCGCCTGAGCCTGGAACTCCGCCGAGGGCTGGAACTCACCGCCCGAGCGGAGGCCCTGGCTCGCGTCCACGCCCAGGAGGCTGGGGCGGCCGGCGGCCGGCCGCGACACCTCTGCCCTCCGGACGTCGCCAGGCGGCACGAGCACGGGCCTCTTGGACGACGAGGCGTTGAGGGCGTGGAAGTACTGCAGGGCCTGCGCCGACAGGGTCCTCGAGCGCCCCTCGGCGCTGGCAGCCACGCGCCCCGCGCTGCGGGCCTCGGATTTGACGGCAATGCCCCGGGCCAAAGGGGCACACAGGGTCAGCAGCCAAAACGCCGCCATTGCATGGACGGTAGGGTGTGTAGTAGGAGCCATGGAAGAAGAGGATTAGAAGGAGGTGTAAATTTGCAGCGAGGATGGGAATGTTTGCTCCTTCGTGTTGAGCTTCCTGGGCCAGGTCTGGCTTTGGACCGCATGCTGGTGAGCTATAGGCTGCGCGTGAAGATGCCAGGGTGTTCACGGCGGTAAATCGGGCCAAAGGCAGGCTGAACAACTACACTGGGCACATGCGAACAAAAAATATTGCTATAAAAACTACAACACATCATAGGGCACATTGTGCGTCGAGCGTTTAGGTTCACCAGGTGTCCCACAAATTCTGTGACTCCGTGGGGCCATCGGGGGATGATATTATTGTCGGGCAAAAGCTGGCGAGCGGATTGTTTATATTTGATGTGCGCACTGTACGCGAAGGCCCCCCCCCCCCCTCACATCCGGCTCAGCGGCCCCTCAAGTGAGCCCACACCCGCGAGCGACCAGGCCCCTGGGCCTCGGGGTCACACGTGGCCGACTCCGAAAACCGCGAACCCGAAAGCGTTGCCACCTCTTTGCTGAACGAACAACACGCGCCCATACCCACAGGGGGGACAGGGGGAAACTATGTGTGCGTGTTGTCGGATGGTGCTCTTGGCTCGAAAGGGAACCCCACCCAGGGTCCGACAACCCGCATCCATACCCATAGCCAGCCATCCTCTCGCCGACCCCCCTATGGGTATGGGTGTGTGTGTTGTTCGTTCGTCAGTCTTGGGGTGGCACAGGGCGGACGCCGGAAACCCTGAACCCAAACATGTTGTCTGCCATCTCTTGGCAGGTCGACTCTTGTTTCCGCCGGCTCCCGCCGAATTTCCGCCGACCTTCCGCCGGCAGAGGCGCCCTCGTCTTACTTCCGGCGCCTTCCGCTGGCCTTCCGCTGCGGAAGACACGGCAACTCCTTCGATCCTGGAAGGCAAGGCCATGTTTGGAACGCCCCACATGTTTCCAAAACGAACACTTTGCCCTGCCCCTCAAAACTATTGTTTCCCATGCTGTGCACGTTTTCTTTCTGCGCCTGCAGCCTCTGCCTCAGCCCCTGGGTGTGGCCGTGATGCCGTTCCGCGTCCACTGCCAGGCTGCCTCAGCACAGGCTGGCCGCTCCGGCCACTCCAGTCGAAGGTCTTCGTGCTGTGAGTGCCCTCCCCCCTTTTCCCGCCGTCCGCGGCCGCTCTCCGGCCCCGTCCGGCTACACGCAAGAGTGACCAGGGTAAGAGTGACCTTTGGTGCGCGGCTCTTTGGGGGCCGCAGGGGAGGCCAAGCCCGAGCGCGCCAGACGCTGCTATCGCATCGCGTTCAATCATCTGGGGACCCCAGCGCACCCGCACCATGAAGGTCACTCTGGCGAAAGGTCACTCTTGCGTGTAGCCGACCCGTCCCCTCTCGTGTCGGCTACACGCAAGAGTGACCCTAGGCAAGAGTAACCCTTGGCGCGGCTTAACGGGGGCTGCGGGGAGACCAAACGCGAGCGCGCAAGACGCTGCTATCGGGTCGCGTTCGGCCATCTGGGGGCCCCAGTGCACCCGCACCAAGAAGGCCACTCTTGGTCGCATGGCTGCATTGGTGCCTGCGAATATCGGAGAGGGGATGGAGACGTGGGCCAAGGCCTATATCGCGTGCGCCGCATAAAGGCGAACGCATCTCCGCGTGCCTCGGGCATCTTTGAAATCATGCTGCACCCTTAGGGCTGGTGTGGGCTCCAGACTCTATCACATGGCGGCGGCGAGAGGAGGCCTTGACATACCCTTAGTGCAGATGTTGTTTGGAGGCTGCCCACGAGGTGCAGCCCACACGTCAGTCAAACGTAGCCCATCACAACAACTGGCCCGTCAAATGTGATGCACCCCATCACCAACCCCGTCATCGGCCAGTGATCTGGTCTACTCAGCACGCACGCTTCTTCCGTACACGCAGGAAGAGGGCGTGCCCAGCGCAGCGGCGGGCAAGTGCCAGCCAGTCTCGAGCTCATCCCTGCCCCCAAGAACAAGCCCAAGGCGATGGCAACCTTAGGGATGGGAGTCCTTGAGATCGGCAGCGAGATGCGGTGATGGCTAGCAGAGGGATGGTAGTACGTTTCAGGTTGGTCAGGCCGCGGCGCGATGCTCCCCGTTTTTTTTCCAACGGCGCACAAGCAAGGAGGTCGAACAGGTAGCGCGCGAAATTATTCGCACGCGCAAGCGCCCTTCTTGCCGCCATCCCCCTATCCTCGGGGCTCACTACGGAGGGGCAGAAGGGACATGCAAGGGCGCCCCCAGGCGGCCGCACCATGGGAGCAGCGCGTGTGCCGAGGACCACCTCGCGTGACCAGGCTGGCGCGCGGCGCGCAGGCGTGGGAGCTCAGCGGCCCTCCACTGATAAGAGCCGGCTGTACTGCACGCGGTGCGCCTTGGCGGGCTCCTCCGTGAACGCAGCATCCGCCTTCGCCTTCGCAATGTACGCAACGACCTTGTCGGTCTCCTGCGCGTAGGTGTAGCCCGCGTCCCAGTTCCAGCGGGGGTCCCAGGTCCCGCCTCCTCCCTGCGGACCCGGCTTCGACGGGTTGCTCGACCCCAGGGAATGTATGACGGGTCGTCGTACTCCTGATGGTCGGCCAAACGGGTTGCGCGAGGACGGCCATAGGGGAGGCCCGGGCTCCCGTATCCCTGGGGGATGCCCCCGCCTTCATGTCGTCGGTTGTCCATCACGTGCGGCCCGGGGGGAAGAGCCCGAAGCCTGTCCACTTCTCAAGCTTGTCCAGTCCAGGCACGTCAAGGGGCCTTGGCGGGGTACATGCAGCGCGGGGCGGCGGCCGACTTGCACCACGTGGGCACCGGAAGGCCACGCCGCTCGAAGTACGCAGGGTTCACCCACACGTGGTCCATGTAGTGAAAGCGCGGCTCGACGTAGTTGATCCAGTACGCGTCCAGGCCACCGATGTAATTGAAGGACGCGAGTGCATGATCTCAAAGATGAGCTCTTCGGTGGCGTCTTTGGACCTGTGCTGAGCGAAGAACTGATAGCCACGGAGCCAGGCCGGCGCGACGACACGGCCGGCGCGACGACCATCGAAGCGGACCAGGACGACCCCGAACTCGAGGTTCTTCCCTGAACCAAAGAATGTCTCATTCAGGACCTCTGCCTCGTAATGACCATTGTGCACGGCCCAGAAGTCAATGGTCTTGCGGCCGCCCACTCTTCAAGAAGGGGGCAATTGTAGGCGGGAAATATGGTGAACGCCAGAATGTCGGAAGTACGCCAGCGATGTCGAAGCCGAGCTTCGCTGGCGTCACGGTCGGAGGGACAGCACCCGAAGGAAAAGCCACGCCTCCGCATCTTTGCCCCACAGCGTAGCGAAACTCGTAGATCGAGGCTCCAGTCTGAGGCCGCGCCAGCCGTGAGCTCGAGGCTGAGCTGGGTTGTTTTTAAGCCTTGGGTGGCGTCTCGCCATCCCCGCCGTGGGTGTCCAGGTAGAAGCCGTTGGTGACGTTCTCGAGCACCTGCGTAATGAGCTTCACGTCCTGCCAGGCGTTGCTGAACGTCTGGATGTTATCCCCCGTCTCCAGGCTGTACTCGACCCAGTGGGGGACGTCGAGCATGTGCATGGCGGAGTACTCGTGGACCACCCAGTTGTCGCCGCCGCGGGGCGTGCCGACGCCCCAGGGCAGCTCGGCGCCATGGCCTTGCCCGGCCTCCGCCTGAGCCTGGAACTCCGCCGAGGGCTGGAACTCACCGCCCGAGCGGAGGCCCTGGCTCGCGTCCACGCCCAGGAGGCTGGGGCTCCCGGCGGCCGGCCGCGACACCTCTGCCCTCCGGACGTCGCCAGGCGGCACGAGCACGGGCCTCTTGGACGACGAGGCGTTGAGGGCGTGGAAGTACTGCAGGGCCTGCGCCGACAGGGTCCTCGAGCGCCCCTCGGCGCTGGCAGCCACGCGCCCCGCGCTGCGGGCCTCGGTTTTGATGGCAATGCCCCGGGCCGAAGGGGCACACAGGGTCAGCAGCCAAAGCGCCGCCACTGCATGAAAGGTAGGGTGTGTAGTAGGAGCCATGGTCAGGAATGCGGGGAGCGGAAAATTCCTTGAGCCCCTGGAAGAAGAGGATTAGAAGGAGGGGTCAACTTGCTGTGAGGATGAGGATACTCGCTCATTCGTGTTGATGTTCCTTACACGAGCGCGTCCCACTACTCCCAAAAGTAACTACTCGCAAATGGCCTGGATTCGCCGCAGGGGATCGACGAGACACCTTGTCCAAGCAGACATTTTTGTTGGGATGCTTGCGAGTAAGCACTTTGCAAATGGTGGAACGCGCTTGGTGATTCCTGGGCCAGGCCTGGCTGTGGACCGCATGCTGGTGAGCTACAGGTTGCGCGTGAAGATGCCGGGGTGTTCACGGAGGCAAATCGGGCCAAGGGCAAGCTGAACAACTACAGCTGGCACATGCGATAGAACAGCTTGCTAAACTAACTATAATAACTCATCGAGCTGATTGTGCGTCGAGCCTCCAAGTTCACGAGGAGTCCCACAAACTCTGTGGTTTCGTAGGGCCATCGAAGGATCAAGAACTCCCGTCGGGCAAATGCTGGCAAACGTACTGTTTATATTTGATGTGCGAACTGTACGCGAAGGCCCCCCCTCACATCTGGCTCAGCGGCTGCTCGGGTGCGCCCGCACCCGCGAGCGACCAGGCCCCTCGGCTTCGGGGTGGGGCGACACATGGCCGACTCCCAAAGTCCTGAATCCAAAAACGTTGTCATCTCTTTGCTGAACGAACAGCACGCGCCCGTATCCATAGAGGGGGACGGAGGGAGCTATGGGTGCGTGGTGTCGGATGGTGCTCCCCGCTCGAACGGGACCCCCACCCCGGGCCCGACAACCAACACCCGTACCCATAGCCAGTCCTCCACTCCCAGTGGGCATGTGTGTGATTTTCGCTCGTCACTTTTGGGGTGGCCCATGGCGGATGCCAGAAACCTGAACCCTAAAACGTGCCATCTCCTGGGGGGGGACTTTTGCTTTCTTTTACCAGCGCAACACCCTAGAAAAATCAATTGGATGTCTAGCGTCGGGCCCGTCTCAAAACCAACCGCATGCACGGCGCAACCTCAAACATGCAAAGCACAACGAGGTAGAGGGCCAGAAGAGTGAGCACGCACGCGGGACCCATGGCCCCGCACTCGAGCACCCCCTCCTCTGAGGGGATGGCACTACGAGAGCGGCCGCCTAAACACCCTCTATGTAGTGTAAAGGCGGGCCCTCATCAATGAAAACAACTGAGTTAGGTCCCCTCGGAGCCCTGCCCACGAACTTGGAAATAGTTTCGAATGTCAACTGTAGGCTGAGATCTGCTGGGGCCTGCACGGGGTCTCACTTCTTCTTCGGGCGCTTCTGCTTTCCGTGGGTTCCGTCTCCTCCCCCCTTGAATATCATCCTCTCGAGCTCCTTGGCAGTCTTGGAAGGGAGCCTCGTCGTCCTCCAAGATCAAACTCGCTGACTTCAACCCCCCACTGGCTTTGAGGACATACAACGCTGCCATCACCGCTGGGTGCGACATAGCGGCGTATATCCACTTGGCCTCCTCCACTTCTTTTCCGTCGATCGTCGTTGTCACTCTCACGTCGAAGCACCTCGTCGCCTTGAGTTTCACTTCGGGGTCCTTGAGGCTCTTCCCGAACTCCACGAGCGTCATCAACGCCACGGCTGATTCCTGTTGATTGGCGCCCTGGGCAACCGCGGCCTTGACCTCTTCGAGTCTGTCCTCCACCGCCTCGCTCAATCTGAACAACAGCATGCGGAGGTACGCGTCGGGCTTCTTGCCGAGGGGGTGGCCGCGATAGTCGGCGGCCGCGACCGTGTCCCTGGCCTCCTTCCCTACCTTCTGGTAGTGTGCCGTGCTCGACTCCAGCGCCACCTGCATCTGTGATCCGACTCGGAGCCGAACCACCACGTTCTGGTCTCTCGCCGAGCCCCGAAAGTTGTCCTCGTGCTGGAGCAGAAGCTTGGTCATCAAGCGGTCCTTCTTCGAGATGCCTGCAACTTCGGTGTCGGCGTTCGGTTTGGTGCTCTCGACTCCTGCCTCGCCCGCGTCTCGTTTCTTGACCAGCTCGGCCGCGGGAATGAACATCGCCCCCCGAGATACTGGGCTCTGCTGCGGTCGTTGAAGGTCGATCTGAAGTAGGAAGCGATGGTAGCGACTGGGCCCGAACAAGCTGCGGATCCGAGAGATGTGGGCAACGCTTCGATTGAATATGCCTGATCAAGGTGTCCTTGCGAGTAAATACTTGGGAGCAATATGGGCACCTGCGGGCACTGAGGTCAAACAAAGGGATATTCACACGGTTGGCAATAATTGAGTGGACCGCAAACCTGTGGTTCTCCAGCCCCTTCTGACCATTGCATCCTTTTCCACACTCTGGACACACAAGAAGTCGAGAGGCATCGATCTCCCCTGCCTCGTGCGTCCAGTCGCTCTCAGCTTCGTGCGAGAGGACAACTCTGAGCTCGGCAACAGAGAACATGTTTAGCCACTCCAGCCAGTCGCGAGAAACGCATGGCGAATCGGACGGCGCTCGCTCCTTGTCAGCTGCTGGGATGCGAGCCCAAAGCGCCCGAAGATCCAAAAGTAGTTGCCCAATTCGGCAAGAGTGGTTGCGGCACCTGGAGTCCTCGAAAGAAAGCTTCCCGAATACAACTGAACGTATAGCTAACGTGGGGTCATAGTCTGGGGGTTCGGGTAGAAGTCCAGGTGATATGACATGCCGCCACCACTGAAGCCTACGATACAGCAGAGTAGAGCTGACACTGAAGATGTCGGCTCGCTTACGAATATCCGAATTGGAGACGCGATACATGTGAGCGGGGGACCGCAACATATGCCTAAGTTTGCGGGTCTGCCATCGTTCCAACTTCTTCAGATCGGCTCGGGTCAGGAAGGCTACCTCCAGCGCGTACAGCGCGATCGAACGGACCAGCGAGCACCACGACTTTTGCTTCCGCCGGCTTCCGCCGAGCTTCCGCCGGCGGAGGCACCCTCGTTTTATTTCCGCCGCCTTCCGCCGGCCTTCCGCGGCTTTCCGCTGCGGACGAGAAGGACAATTCCTTCGATGCTCGAGGGCAAGGCCATTTTCGGAACGCCCCAAATGTTTTCAAAATTCGCACTTTCCCCTGTCCCTCAATACTAGCTTTGCCCATGCTGTGCACGTTTTCTTTCTGCGCCTGCAGCCTCTGCCTCAGCCCCTGGGTGTGGCCGTGATGCCGCTCCGCGTCCACTGCCAGGCTGCCTCAGCACAGGCTGGCCGCTCCGGCCACTCCAGTCGAAGGTCTTCGTGCTGTGAGTGCCCTCCCCCCTTTTCCCGCCGTCCGCGGCCGCTCTCCGGCCCCGTCCGGCTACACGCAAGAGTGACCAGGGTAAGAGTGACCTTTGGTGCGCGGCTCTTTGGGGGCCGCAGGGGAGGCCAAGCCCGAGCGCGCCAGAAGCTGCTATCGCATCGCGTTCAATCATCTGGGGACCCCAGCGCACCCGCACCATGAAGGTTACTCTTGGTAGCAGAACTGCCTTATGGCAGGTTCATATGTGCCCGCGGCGATCGGAGAGGGCAAGGAGACGTCGAGCCAAGGCCGTCGGTTGCGCCGCCTAAAGGCAAACCCATTCCCGCGTGCCTGGGGCATATTTGAAATCATGCTGCACCCTTAGGGCTGGTGCGGGCTCCAGGCTCTATCGCATGGCGGCTGCAAGAGGCCTTGAAATTCAGGACCGATACTTGATACCCTTAGTGCACGTATGGTTTGGAGACTTTCCACAAAGTGCAGGCCTCCTGGAAGTCAAACGTAGCTCTTAACAACAAGTTGCCCGTCAAAATGCGATGCATCCCATCACCAACCCCGTTATCGGCCAGTGGACTGGTCTACTCAGTCTACTCAGCACGCACGCTTTTTTCCGCACGCGCAAAAGACGGCGTGCCCACCGCGAACCAAGCACCCCTATCGGGGCTGACCACGGACGTGCAGAATGTGAGGGGTATGGCATGCACGGAACCCAGGCGGCCGCACCCTGGGAGCGGCGCGCGTGCCGATGACCACCTCGCGTGACCAGGCTGGCGCGCAGCGCGCAGGCGTGCGCGCTCAGCGGCCCTCCACTGATAAGAGCCGGCTGTACTGCACGCGGTGCGCCTTGGCGGGCTCCTCCGTGAACGCAGCATCCGCCTTCGCCTTCGCAATGTACGCAACGACCTTGTCGGTCTCCTGCGCGTAGGTGTAGCCCGCGTCCCAGTTCCAGCGGGGGTCCCAGGTCCCGCCTCCTCCCTGCGGACCCGGCTTCGACGGGTTGCTCGACCCCAGGGACATGTATGACGGGTCGTCGTACTCCTGATGGTCGATGCCAAACGGGTTGCGCGAGGACGGCCCGTAGGGGATGCCCGGGCTCCCGTATCCATGGGGGATGCCCCCCGCCTTCATGTCGGTCGGTTGTCCATACACGTGCGGCCCGGGGGAAGAGCCCGAGCCTGTCCACTTCTCAAGCTTGTCCAGTCCAGGCACGTCAAGGTGGCCTTGGCGGGGGTACTGCAGCGCGGGGGGCGGCGCCGACTTGCACCATGTGGGAACCGGGATGCCGCGCCGCTCGAAGTACGCGGGGTTCACCCACACGTGGTCGTTGTAATGGAAGCGCGGCTCGACGTAGTTGATCCAGTACGCCGTCCCGGCACCGATGTAGTTGAAGCTGGCGTTTGTGCGATGAGCTCGAAGATGAGCTTCTTTCGGTCTCGTCCTGGACTTGTGCTGACGAACACTGGGAGTCCACGGCCGGCGCGACGACCGATCAAGCGGAACCAGGACGACTCCCGAACTCGAGGTCTTGCCCTGAACCAAAGAATGTCTCATTCAGACCTCTGCCTCGTAATGACCATTGTGCACGGCCCAGAAGTCAATGGTCTTGCGGCCACCCATCTCTTCCAAGAAGGTGGGCAAGTTGTAGGCGTGGATCTGGTGACCGCTCAGCATGTCGAGTACGCCATCGGTGTCGAAGCCGAGTTTTGTGGCGTTCCCGGTCGGAGACAAGCACCCGAGGAAAAGCCACGCCTTCCGCATCTTGCCCCACAGCGTAGCGAACTCGTAGATCTGAGGCTCCAGTATGAGGCCGCGCCAGCCGGTGATCTCGAGCAGCAGCGTGTAGCTGTGCGTCTCGCCATCCCCGCCGTGGGTGTCCAGGTAGAAGCCGTTGGTGACGTTCTCGAGCACCTGCGTAATGAGCTTCACGTCCTGCCAGGCGTTGCTGAACGTCTGGATGTTATCCCCCGTCTCCAGGCTGTACTCGACCCAGTGGGGGACGTCGAGCATGTGCATGGCGGAGTACTCGTGGACCACCCAGTTGTCGCCGCCGCGGGGCGTGCCGACGCCCCAGGGCAGCTCGGCGCCCTGGCCTTGCCCGGCCTCCGCCTGAGCCTGGAACTCCGCCGAGGGCTGGAACCCACCGCCCGAGCGGAGGCCCTGGCTCGCGTCCACGCCCAGGAGGCTGGGGCGGCCGGCGGCCGGCCGCGACACCTCTGCCCTCCGGACGTCGCCAGGCGGCACGAGCACGGGCCTCTTGGACGACGAGGCGTTGAGGGCGTGGAAGTACTGCAGGGCCTGCGCCGACAGGGTCCTCGAGCGCCCCTCGGCGCTGGCAGCCACGCGCCCCGCGCTGCGGGCCTCCCATGGGGGCTGCCGCGGGGTGGCCCCGCCCCAGAGGTGCCCCCAGCGTTCCGCGCCCTTTCGGGGCGCCGGCGGCCCCTTGGGCCTGGTGCGTCGTGATGGGTCAATTTTCCACCACCCCTGCCATACGCAGGACGGGGGAGAAGGGAGGATGGGGAGGATTTCCCCCGTCTCCTCCTCCCCCCCCCTCCTCCTCCTCTTCCTCCTCCTCTTCCTCCTCCTCCTCCTCCTCACTTTCCTGCCTGTGGTAGTGGTGGTGGAACATCAGCCCATCAAGTCGAGGGTGGACAGGGCCCCATTGACCAAAACACCCCGCCGTGACAAAACGGGACCGGGGTCAGGCCTGGCGGGCGCAGGCCAGCGAGAGCTGGGGCCGCAGCGCCCTCTCTCTCTCTGTCTCTCTTTTTTTTTTTCTCTCTCTCTCTCTCTCTCTCTAGAGAGAGAGAGAAAAAAAAAAGAGAGAGAGAGAGAGAGTGCAAAGCAACTCCACAATCGAGCTTCGAGCCTCGAGCCTCGAACCTCGAACTTCGAACCTCGAACCTGGAGCCTCGACTTGGCAGCTAGCAGGGTGGAGGTTCTATCAACATCCGAGTGAAGGGGTACTCTGGAGGCCACCTGGGCAAGCTGGGGTCTTCTTGGCCACCTCCGGCAGCACCCCGAGCCTCTGTCTTGAGGGCAATGCCCGATGCCAGCGGGGCGCACAGCGTCAGCAGCTTGAGCGCCGCCATTGCGCTGGCGGTAAGGTTTGTGGTGGGTGCCATGGTTGGGTGGCGCGTCAGGAGCGGCGCGTGAACAAGGCTCTGGGAGAAAGGGAGGGGGAGGAAGACGATGATGGGGCAGAGGAGCAGAGCAGAGCAGAGCGGAGCAGAGCAGAGCGGAGCGGAGCAGAGCAGAGCGGAGCGGAGCAGAGCGGAGCGGCGCAGAGCGGAGCAGATCTCCCCTCCTCCTCCTCCTCCTCCTCCTCCTCCTCCTCCTCCTCCTTGTTCTCCGTTTGCTCCTCCCTCCCCCCCAGCCTCCTCCTTCGAAGCAGGGCGCCACGGCCGCCACCCTGCCAAACAACTGGAAAAAAAAAAAAAAAAAAAAAAAAAAAAAGGGACAAACAACCGAACCATCCTCGTCTCACTCCTCCTCGTCCCTCTCCGTCGTCGCGGTCGCGGCTGCTCGCCGCGACGACGGCCGATGATGACGACAGACGACGACGACGACGACGACGGCGACGAAGATGATTAATTTGCGCGGATGTCGCTTGTGTCTGTGCGGTTTAACTGTGCGGGGCGCTCGTGCCTCTAAGGTTAGGTTTGCGCGCGTGCGTTATCTCTCCCAGATTCAAGTGCGTGTAATGCTTGCGCCTCCAAGGGTTTCAGTGTCTGTAGCGGCTGCCTCTCTGAGGTTGCAGGGCGCGTATAGCACTTGCGCATCTAGAGTTTACATGCGTGTAGCGCTTGTCTCTCCAAGATTTAAATGCGTGTAGCGGTTGTCTCTCAAAGGCTTCTTGGCGGTGCGCACAACGGGGTGGAGGGAAGGGGTTGGGTTTCTTAGAAGGAGGCTGCTCCTTAGAGGGCGCCAACCTCACATCTGTAGAGAAGGCCCGCGCCTTCTGAGGAGCACGGGTGCTTTTAAGAAGCCCTCCCCCCTCCCCCCCACCCCCCTCTGCGCGTGGCCGAGTTTCAGTACGTGTGGCGTTTGCGAAGGGAAATTGGGACACACAAATAAATACACACAAATACTCATATTCCCCATCCTTTCCCATATTTTCTGGCTTTCTGTCTTCCCCCCCTCCCCATATTTCCCCATATTTTCTGGGGAATCGATGATTGATTGTGTCTGTGTGTTTTTCCCTTCCTGAGCTTGTCTCTCCAGGGTGCATATGCGCACCGCGCGGGAGCAGGCGGCACCAGGCACGCCACGAGCGAACGGGCGCGTTGTCGCAGCGCACGGGCTGCCGAGAGCTGGCCCAGCTCGCTGGGCCGGGGCCGCTGGGGAGTGGCCCGCCGCAGCGGAAAGTGGCCCAGTTCACTGGAGATTCGATGTCACTCATGCGGAGCTCCCGATGGGGCCACGGAGCCCGTAAGGGGTGCGAGGAGGAGGAGGAGGAGGAGGAGGAGGAGGAGGAGGAAGAGGAGGCGGAGGAGGTGGAAGGGGAGGGGGAGGAGGGGGAGGAGCGACCGTGACATGATGATGATGATGATGATGATGATGATGATGATGATGATGATGATGATGATGATGATGATGATGATGATGATGATGATGATGATGATGATGATGATGATGATGATGATGATGATGATGAATGAGTAGCGAGCGCAAATGAGGGGGCCGCGCCGAGTCGGGGAATTCCCCAGAGGGCGGCCTGAATTGGGGTGTGAGAAGGTCATGGGGGGGGTTGGGTGGGGAAGCAGGTGAGAACGCACAATCACTCACATACTGAAAAGGGGGAACACGAGAGGGCAAGCCCAACCAGATCCCCTCGCACGAGCCCGACGACGGGCCCATGCCGAAGATGCAGGCCAGGAGACTGGCCTGGGCTCGGGGCCGATCGAATCACCAGGCCCCGCGCAGAGAAATTAAAAACAAAACGAATTGAACCGAATTCAGGTAGCTAGGCCAAGCCACTCCACAGCGGGGTCAGAGACCAACATGCGCCGAGGGAGGGGGATGGGGTGCCTGCGGCCCTCGCTGGGGTGACGCCCTTCGGCGAAATTATTCCGCCTCCATTTCCTCTGAGGGTTCCCCTCAAAGGCTTTGGGGCCCTCGCATTCATTATAAAGCTGGGATCTGTGAGCACGCTCCGAAAAAAGGATCCGCAGCGCATGCATCCAACCACGTCGCCCGCACGGTAGAGCACGTGGCCTCGAGAGGCCCGAGGAGGGACCGTCCCCTCCGCGGGGAGAACCGTGCTGGGAGGGGCGGCGTTGGCCCTGGCGGTGGCCACCGCCAGGCGGGGGCGCTTCTCCGAGCCAGTCGGGGTATCCAGGGCGACCGTGGCTTCCCTGACGCGAGTCTGGGCTGGCGACTCAAGCTGTACTCTTGGCTTGACCCTACGGGGGGGTCGAATGAAAGCCTCCGCCTCCTCGCCCTCAGGCCTCCTAGTTTTACCCACAATCCTAACCCTCGGGCTCGGGTGGGGAGGAGGAGGAGGAGGAGGAGGAGGAGGAGGAGGAGGAGGAGGAGGAGGAAGGTCAGAGGACGAGGCAGGGGGGGAGGGAGGGTCCCCGCGCAGCACCTTCCTCCCAGGGCCGTCCTCGTCAAGTCCGCCTTCCAGGCCGACCAGGCATCCCAGGGGCCTCTTGAGAGCCTGTCGGGGGCCGCGGGGCGGGCTCCGCGGGGCCACCTCTGGGCAGGACTGGGGCACAGGGGCCTGAGGTTCCGAGGGGCGGTGCACTATACAAACCTCTATGGCCAGGCGCCTCCGTCCAGATGCAGTCCGCGCGAAGCGCTGACAGTGTTTACATTTCCAACCTCCAGCCAGCGCGGGCCTGACGTCGTGCAGGCGCTGGCTCATTGTCAGAACTGGCCGCTGTCGTCCTGGCCGACGTCGTTGCTGTTGTCTTCGACGCGGCTTGCGTGCAGGCGGCGGCTGGCGGTCCAGATTCCCAACCAATGTCATGGAGGGCCCAATCCAGCACGCCACCTGTCTGACAATGTTGAGCATGTTCGAGTGGAGCTGGCTGACTTCCGACGACAACGCATGCATAGCCAGCCCCCTCTTTGCTGCAACATATGCGTAGTCGTTACCCTTCTTGTCTGCGCTTATATCATCTTGAGTCTGGTGCGCCCGAACATATGATATCTCCAGCTGCGGGGACAATCCCCCATGATCCTGAATGGCCTGCCATAGCAATCTCCACAGATCGCAATTCGGCCTGCGCGGGTGTGTGCACTGTTCAGGCCCGCTCATGATGTCCTCCACGGTGCCCAGGCAGTCCGTACGAATATGCATCGGCAGCATCCCGTGCCGTAGGGCTTGAATGACCGCATATAATTCAGCTCGCGGTACAGATTGTTGGTGTCCTGGTAGAGGCCAATACGCAATCCCTCGTAGTGTCTGACCCGTCATCATCGCAATCCCCCAGCCTGCTCTGTTGGCCCCAGGCCAGGCTATGGGGGAAAACCCTGAACCATCCGTGTAGATTTCTCCCGTCAGCATGGTCATGTCGCCTCCATGTGCAAGCCCCCATGAGTCCACCATGGCTGGTGGCGGAACAGCGGGTAGGGCGCCCCTCGGCATCCGGCCCCTGGTGAACAAGAGGTCGTTGTGAGGTGAGGCTCGAGCGGCCTGGGTAATGTCAGCATCAACTGCAGCTTCTCTTTCTTGCTGGAGCAAAGGGCAGGACCAGAGACGGCGATGTACTGTTCCAGGGCAGTCCCTACAATTATTGGCACCAGTTGTCAGCAGCGTACCCATGTTTATGTAGTCGAGCTTGAGACCATTGTCCTCCAATGCTCGAGGTACGTAGTGCTGCTCGAGCCTGCTCTGACAAGTGCCACTTCTTGGCCAGCTCCTTCGGTGCCAGCAGCATCTTGAGCGGGCCCACCCAGTAGCCACATGGTCTCCTGATTGGCGGGTCATCCTCTGGCGCATGATCCTTCTGGCGACTCCAATCTTCAAACTTCACGTTGATAAAGTCCCGTCTTGCTAGAACTCTGAGCCATTCTGGGCTGTCAGTAGTGAGGTCCAGGCCTATCCCTGAGCACGTAGTCCATGTCGTCGCAGTCGTCACACGCCAGTTGATAGCATGAAGTGCCACCAAGACGGCCCCTGCTGGACCCGCAACGTTAGCGTGCTTCGGGGTAGAACCTAGTATCTGGCGCCGCTGCATGAAAGCCTTTTCCAGCACGTAGTTTGGCACCTTGGTGTCCTGAACGAGCATGGCCCACGTATAGAGGGGGCCAACTGTCGCCATCATCTCAGGGTGCTCAAAGAAACGCGGCTCGAGCTGAGCAGCCAGCCAGACTGAGGTGCCAGGAGGAGTGCGCCGCCAACCCACGCGAACCATACTGACCATCGACTTGATCAGCGCCTTGGTGGCGCCCACGATCTGGATGCCATACTGCATGGCGGGGGCAATACATGGCTGCGCCACCGCTCGCCCGATCTTGGCCAGTCCATTGAGCCTCCTGAATCGCGGGGGCCTCTCCTTCACCTTGCGCATCCTCTTGCGAATCGTTTCGGAGCTCAGCCTGTGTCCTCCTTTCGCTTCCATGCCGGGCACCTCCAGGGTTTTGAAAGGCCGAAAACCGTGACGATGGACCTGCTGGGTGACCTGCTGCGCAATGTCAAACTCTGAGGCCAACACTTTCGCCTTGTCCTGAGCAGTTGGAAGGTCAAGAGCCTTGAGAACTGCAGCGAGCCGCTGCAGTATACGCACCGTCTGGTAGACAATGTCATGCGACGTGGCAACCACCTGAATCGTGATGTCGTCTGCGTAGATGTCCAGTGAGTGGTGCACCTCGTCGGTATTAGCGAATGATTTCTCGAAGATGTCGAAAGGCAGCAGCATGACCAGCTGCAGCAGGAACATAGCAATCAAACAACCTGGGAGCACCCCCCTGCTCGCCTGGCACGAGTAGGAAAAGGAAGTGGTCCACTTGATTCTCCTCGAGGCGTAGTACATCGCCAGGCATAGCTGCAGGATCTGTGCTGGGAACCCGTAGTGCGCGGCCGCCTGCAGGACTCGACGCCAGCATACTCTGTCAAAGCACTTGCTGATGTCCACGAGTGTGGTGGTGGTGGCGGCCCTCTGCCTGTCATGGGTGTAGGCCTCAGCGTAAATCATGGTGCGCGCACCCACATCTAGTGTACATTTGTGGGTGCCCAGCGCGAAGTAGGGCCGAGTATTCTGTGAGATCCAAATCCGAACTTGCCCAAGCCTGAGCTTCGTGTAGATACGGTACGTCGCAGGCAGGAGAGCTAGTGGTCGAAACCCTCCCTGCGGC